CCTCGCAGCCGCCTACAGCCTCAGATCTAGCTAGATCCCCCCCGTCGCCTCCCTGCAGCTTCCTGGAGCCCCGCACGGCCCCTCTCCCCGTCCCGGGACCGTTCTCCCGCACACCTCCGGCACAGCTGTCCTCAGCACTCCCTCCCGTCGCGCCGCGGCTTCCCTCTCGGTGCTGCCCGGACAGCTCCGGCTGCCGCCGCACTGTCCTGCGGGGCGGCCCAGGCGGCAGGAGCGGCGCTCTGCGAGGAGAGCCGCGCCTCCGACAGCCGGCTCCCAACGCTCGCTCCCGCGCACGGCGGCTCGGCCAACGGCAGCCGGCGGAGCTACCGCGGACCAAGGAGACCCCGGGGGCGGGGCAAGGGAGATGCTGCTCAAGGTGAGCTCCTCCTGCCGCAGCGTGATGACGACAGGTCTGCACGGCCAGCTCGTAGGTCGGGAGCCAGGAATGGACACGGCAGGAGGAGAGAGGCGTTAGGGAGCAGCCGAGGCTTCGAAATGCATCAAAAAGCCCTGAAAAGCATCACAAAGCCACAGCCAGGAAGCTCGGGATTATCATGAGCAGCATCCAGGATGCTAAACATCATTTGCTACCATACCAGATGGTAGCTGAGCTCTCGCTGCAGACGTCCCAAAGCCAGACAGAACGGGAACAAACCCAGAGCCCTGCTGCGCGCACCCCACAGCCATCGCGTTGCAAGCTGGCGTGCCTTGCTCTTCGTTGCATTCGTCCCAGTCTCTGTGAATGAAGACTCGGAAGGCAGTCAAGGCGTTGATTGAGCACGAGCGTGCTTTTATTATTATGTAAAAGACAGGAGGGCGTGAGAGGTCCAGGGTAAAGATGGGACTCATCCTCTCTTGTCACGGAGAGAGTGGCTCAGAGCTCTCAGTGCTGCTGCCCGGTGCCTGGGGCTGGAGGCCTGATTCTAAGTCCCCCTCCAAGAGGCTCGGCTTCTCCTCAGCGACGCTGACCTGCTCCTGCGTGGAGGTGCTGCTGTAGGGGCACTCGGACTGTGCTTGGGCTGGGCTGCACTGCAAAGGCACTGGGTCACAGTCCAGGCTGGTGACTGTGGTGTCCAGCAGGCTCAGGTCAGCATCTTCAGCACAGCCGGGAGAAATGAGGGCGTGAACTTGGATGAGCTCCTTCTCTCCATCGCTGTTGTTATGTGGAAGGCTGTCATCTGAACCACAGTGACTCGTGCTTCCTAAGAGCCCTCCATCGATGGAAGCACACAGCGCACCATCACTACTTGCCCCAGCTCTTCTGGGTAGACAAGGGCTCGATTCACCTAGGAAGGATACACAGGGGTTAGTGTCAAACTTTCACAAGCTGAATTATGAAAGTGGCTCTTGATCAGGGGTGATCTGAAGATGCTAGGTATAGGTTGGAACGCTAGAAGGAGATAAAAGTCCACTTGTATTGCATGAATTCTATGTCGCTGAAAAGCAAGGCTTTGAAAGCTGGATTCGCACCCTTACCTGCCAGCACCACGACTTCTGTCTCTGAGGGCTCCCTGGGACTGCGCTGCAGTAGGCGTTTGGCCACAGAGGATGGTTTCCGCAGGCTGAAGCAGGAACGCCAACTGCCAGCCGGTGATTCCTTCATCTTGCTGGGTGGACGCTGTCTGGAGAGAGAAAACAGTGACTGGTGTGAGTCGTGCGTGGTGAGGGAAGAGCTGCACTGAGCTCTTGCCAACAG